TCTAAAACTGGACCCTTTTAGTCAGGAAGCCTGGAAGTCTTGAGGAATTATGAGAAGAGTTATAGGTTGATTGAGGGGTTAGATGCCACGTTGTCATCCCTAGTCACACACTTGTTTCAGAGTTGAACCATGGAGAGGGGAGGGGACTTGGTAACAAGATATGCCTGAGGAGGTCTGAAGATGCTGAGAGCAGTGGCTCAGCACCAGGGAGAATATAGACCCCCTGGAGAACCCCAGCCCTCAGCTTAGGTCCATGTCCATTCTGGCCCCAAAAAGATGGCAAGAAGGTGGCTATAGAAAGCTGCTGGTTCTTCATGGTCTCTGTATGAAGTGTGAGAGAGTGGCAGTGTACCTGGAGAGAGGACACAGAGTTTCAGAACATACATTAGACTAACATAGCCAGAGGCTGTGGTACTTGAGGACATCAAGATTGGAGGCAAATGACTAGGATCACGTTCTCCAGTGGTGGACGCCAGAAACCTGAATACACCCAGACAAGACCAATTTAGAGGAGCCACTCTGCTATGAAGATCAGGGAGGGTCTAGAGGACAATGAGTTCGTCTTAGGACTGCCTCTCCTCTCATGAGGTCATATAAGCTGCATTCCTACCCGTGAGGATCTTCACCTGGTGTACACTGGTCTAGCCATACTGGTTATTTATGGCTAAATTCTCTTCTAATTGATTCTGGATGCTAAGTATTAGTATATTGAATTAGTATTTTGAATTAATATTCCTCCTATACATATCCCATATTTTCGGAGGGAAATCCATATTAGAAATGACCATATTAGGGGGAAATTCAAAATTCTCAGAGATAGAGACTTTTATCCAAAGAGACTGAGGATTTACCTAAAGAGACTGCTAAATATTTGGATCAGACTAAGCATATCCGGTTGGACTAAAATTAAGTTGTCCTTCCCTTTGCCACTAAGTTATGTAGAAAATCCATAAGGGGGACCAGATCAATTAATGCATATAAACAAGCTATATTATTTCTGTATGAAATTCAGTGAATTACAACTTTGTGACAGTTTCTAGTGTACAGGAGATTGGAAAGATCTGGGGACTTCATTAGTACTTAAATCCATTAGCTTAATTCCACATGGGCAGGGATTTTTGTTGTTGTTGTCCACTGCAGTGCTCTGAATAAGTATCTGGCATATTGAAAGTCTGAGTAGGTATTTGTTGAAGGAATTACAACTGTAACACGAGGCAAGCTTGCAAAGTGCCCTCTAAGAATCCCAATACAGTTTCAACAAAAACAGAGTGTCCCTGGTGTCATCCATTAGAATCCTTTGTTTTCAGCTCCCTCTAGGAATATTATGTTCCATGTTAGGCACCAAAATTTAAGAGGGGCATTTATCAGTCAACTAAAGAGGATCCTGAAGAGAACAGGCAGGACAAGAGAATTCTGAAAATCACCCCAAAAAGAAACAGTTGACACTACCTGAGGAAAAAAGTGATTAATGAGAGAGAATGCTATTTTCAAATGTTAGAAAAAGTATAATTGTAAATGTATAATTGCATGTTCATAATTAGACTTAATGGGAAGAAATTATGAATAGGCAGATTTTGACTCAATATAACAAAGAAGCTCTGACTTTAACTTTCCAATAATGGAATGAATTGCTTTGTGAACCACAATGTGAGATTTAATTATGTATTATCAGATATTTCCTTTTCAATATTCATTGGTATTTGCCTCCCTCCCTCTCAACTTATTGTTTATCCTTGAAAGCAGAAAATGTAAAATTTGGAATGGTAAGGTTAGTTTAAAAACTTTATTACTGTTAAGAATTATGGAGCCTATTAACTGATCACCCATTATCTTAGTCCCTCAGGTGGCAAACTCAAGTATGAGAACATACCCTTGACTGTTGGGTCTATATCTCACTTGGGTTTTCTGATGTCCATCACAAAGTGAAATTGCAAATTTTGTAAATCAGCTAAGATTTCATGAGGTTGATAAAAACGTTGGAGAACTGCCTAAATCACATACAAAACCATTTACTAATGGCAATTTGTCAGTGTTATTTCTGTTAATAATTGAATAAGAAAAGTTTGAGAGCGGATTTGATTGGTGTTTTAGAGGGAACTCCAGCTACTGAGTTTGTATGTCATTGGAATATCAAAGGATGAAGAAAGGCCCTTGGCAAATCTGTTGAAGCTCTTGAGTACGTTTATAAATATGATTCTTTTTATATATTAGTTTGACAAAAACCATTCAAAAGGTAAAGTATATTGCTTCATGTCATTATGAAATTGAATCAGAAGAATTAAATATCTTTCTCCGAAAACAGTAAACATTGTATTTTGTGGTTCTATGAATTATACAAGTAACTGTCAACCTACAAGTTAAATATTAGATGAAAATATGTTCCCTATAATTTTTGCTTTTCTTTTTCAAGATGAATTAAAAGAACCCCACCCCCACCCCCCAACTGTGAAATTCAGTCTTAATTTTAGGTAGTGTGAATTTTCGTTATCTTTTCCAGGACTAATTATCCTCCAATAAAGTAAAACTCCTCTATGTCTCTGTTTCCTCTACCGGGAATGCTTTTCTTTCTCTTAGGTTTGTCAAAAAGGGCCAAAACATATCAATCAATAATTGCTATACTTGAGTCACGCATGTGGACATAAAAGGAACAGTATCTTATTCTCAACCAAGCATAGTGCTAAGGATGTTGTAAATAATCAGTGAATAATTCTTTATTCATTCATTATTCATTTATTCGTTCATACTGGACACTGAGGGGAGGAGAATGATTTAGTTCCTTACTTTATGGAATCTACAATTCTGTGCTTATGCTGCGTTACCAAGTTATCACTATTAATACGTTCAGTGCAGAAATACATTTTTATCACAAATGTAATTTGTGCTCATTGTAGATGACTTCAGAAAATAAGAAAGAGATAAAGAAGAAATCAGATGTAATCTTAGCACTAGGAGATAAAAGCTGATGATATTTGGGAATTGATGCATGCGTACAGATTTTTCTTCTTACGTGTGCATTTAGTACACATATTTATACATTATATATATAGATAGAAATTATGTAAATATATACATATATATTTGTACATTATATAAGTATAGATATTTTTAAAGAATATTTATACTACATATACTATTTTATAAATTACTTATCTCATAGATATTTTAAAATCAGTATATATCTACCTAGTCATAATGACTGAAGGGTGTTTCATTACATGGATATGACATAATTTTTTTACCAAATTTTTTACTGTCAGTCACTTAGATTGCTTCCATGTTTTTTACTATTGTTAACAATATAATCATCTATATATACATTTTTAGTCATTTATCCATCCATTATTTCAGGACAAATACTTTACACTATGTTAAGCTTGAAATTTTATCTTCTTGAAGATTTAAAATTAAGAATATTAACAAAAATCTTAAACATTAAAAACAGTTAATCTACCGTATTAGAAGTCAGGATAATCATTGTCATTGGGGGTCAGGTGAGTGTTTGGATTGGAAAGTGACATAAAGGGAGTTTCAAGTGTACCTGAACTACTCTGTGGTTCGACCTGGGAGTTGGTTACAGGGGTGTGTTCACTTTGTAAAAATTGGACAAGCTGTATACTTATGACTTGTCACTTTCTACTTTCTTGTATTTGTGTTACACATCAATGAAATAAGTTAAAATACTATGTTACAATTTGCATCCATGTCTATATGCTTATGTAAATTCTAAGAATTGAATACTATTATCATATTTAGTTTTTTTTAATTCATGTTGCTAATTATTCTGCAGAAAGTTTGCACCAGTTTTGACTCCCACAGACAATATATAAAGTGTAATTTCTTTATGTTCAAATTAACATTTATTATCACAATTTTTATAATTTGTAATGATTTGTACATTTAAAAATTGAGTATTTTTCTCTCTTGGAAAATTTCAAACTTACAGAAAAGCTGAAAAAATAATATCATGGTCATCCGTAAATCCCTCATTAGATTTGCCAACTTTTAATTTTTTGCCACATTTACTTTCTCTCTCTGTCTCTATTTACACACACACACACACTCACTCACATATCTATACACGTATATATGTATACATATATATACACATTTATTTTTGTATTTCTGAATTATTTGAAAAGAAGCTTTAGGCATCATGATAGTTTACCCCTTAAGAATAAGAATATTATTCTATATAACCACAATACTTTTACCACACCTTAAAAAATTAACAATAACTCTATATTATCAAGTAATATCTAGTCCATATTCATATTTCCACAACTGTACCAATATAGTCTTTTCTAACTGATTTTTTAAAATACAAGATTAAATAAAATTTACTCAGTCATTGCATTTAGCTGTTTTGTCTCTTTAGTCTCCTTTTACCTAAAATAATCCCCTACCACCATCACCCTACCCTGCTTTCTTTCATGATGTTGAAATTTTTCAAGTCTAAGTCACTTGATAACCTTCTGTTTGTTTTCAAATGTGTATGACCATGCTTGATTTTGCAGGCTCTTATTACAGAATTTTATAGGTTATCAGAAGCACATGTATCAGCAACTGTAACAAATTTTCATTTGTGGCTATTGGTTAATCAGAGCAAGACATTGGATCTCCAGTTGAGCACCAGATGTTTTTACTGAGGGAAAAAAAAGAAAAGTTAAGAGCTTTTAAATCTTACATTATTACTTTGATTGTATAAGAAATAATAGTGACATTTCATTCTCTGAAATGTATTGTGAGGGTTTTCCTTCATATTGATACACTATGTTATTCAATGAATTAGTTAGTATAGAACCAGTTTAAAAGACCTGAGAATGCAGTGACAGCCAGGAAGGATATTTTGAAGTTTAAAATGGTCCCTATATAAATAGAACGGATCAGCATAACTTTGGGATAAAATTAGCTGACAGTTTGTGGGCTCTCTAGCATGTGCCTGTTAGCTTAGTGCCGCTCTCCTGATAAATCACAATACAGCTTCCAGAGAGAGAGGAAGGATGGACAGCACGGCTGCCCCTATCACTAAATCTGCAGCTGCCAAGTTAGTTAAGAGAAATTTCCTTGAGGCTCTAAAGTCAAATGACTTCGGAAAATTGAAGGCCATTTTAATCCAAAGGCAAATAGATGTGGACACAGTTTTTGAAGTTGAAGATGAGAATATGGTTTTGGCATCTTATAAACAAGGTAAAAATTATAGGTGTAATTGTAAAATCGATAGAAAATGGATTTGGTTTTTTAATGCACAGCATTAGTCACCCAATCTAAACCAGTAGCTCTTTCTATTTCTTTAAATATATACTTTAAAATATTTCTAATGTAATCATTTCTTTCTTTTTAAACTAGACAAAATCATGAGCTGGTATATATTTTTTCTTCTCTTTACTTTTCTTTCTGTATCCCTGTGCCTAGAATTTGAAATCCTGGATAATCATATTTAGTAATGCAATTTTCCTCTATTTCTAACTTTACTTCTTCTGATAAGTACATAGAATAAAGAAACCATCTCTAGATTATGGCTAAACAGATTGCTGAGATCTAATCCAGACAGTATGACTGGCTTGGGAACAGGCTGCCAGCCCTCTGTTAACAGGGCTACTTAAAGATATATCATCTCTACATCCACCTGGAGGAAGAAGGGGATTTTTGCCCCTATTTGAAGGGTTAATAAATGGGTAAGGCTGTGCCATGATACACCTTTATGATCCTTGTCATTTTAATGAGTTTTCAGTTCAGGCAGAAAAGCTGAAACCAGAAAAGCCAAAAAGTTAACTTTTTTCCATGACTACAGTGATAGATCAAAATTGTAGATCTACCTAACACGGTGTATCTGCCTTATGAAGAACTAAGGATAGCAAAAATTAGAACTGAATTTTTTTTTTTTATCACGGGATTTTCTGGAACCCATGCTTAATAAGTCAGAAATAAATTAGAAGTGAGCAGATTCTGATTTCCCAAATCAGCTAGTTAATGGGAAATTTGAGTAGCGAGGCCATCTGGTAAGCGGACTGCAAACAAACACCATGTTCAACATCACTTCTGTTTAAACAAAATAGGTGATAAGGTCTTGTGTACAGCATTGAGAAAGAGAGATCTTTTTTTATGTTTAAAATACTTTCCATTTGTATATAAATCATCAGCACCATCAATTTTCAGAAATGAATACTAATGGTATATATTTCTACATTAATTTACTATCAGTTCTGAAGGAAGAATGGAATAGTTGAGGCCAGTTACTGTGTTTATGACTTTTACTTGAGGGTTTTATTATAAATTGGCATTTGCTATCTTGATTGGAAAATAAAGAAGAGGTCTGTTTTTTAAAAAGAGGTTGATGGAGGTTCTGTTAAGAAAGAATGTATACTATATGATCAGATTACTTTCATCTTATGGATTTGTTCAGTGAAAGACTGCCTGAATGCTTAATACATTTTTAAGGTAATTTTTAAAACTTATATTCGTGCCTAGCTTAAAATACTTATGTCCAAGTCAGCAGGTAATTTATTTGACCCTGAGCTGTGAAGACTGCCTTTTCTCATCTGAGCATGCCAAATTGCGTAGATCATGCGAAGGTTCAGAGGTTGTGAGAAAGGAAGTTTTAGTGGCAGTTTCTGGAGAAGAAGGGTGCTGTTTCTCTTGCTTCCAATGGTGTTACCATCCCTGAACGAGAAAAAAATGCATTTTAAAATCTTTCTGTCAATATGAGCCGACTCCCTATGGTCTTCATAGAGCTAAATTTTCATTCATGCAAATGGGTGTTTTCATAGGACTGTGGGATGGGACTTTCAATTAGGGAGAAAGCAAATTACACTCTCTGGATTTGGGGGGGAGGAAGAAAAGAGAGCAGTAACATTCTTATGCATGCCAGGTGGATGAATGCAAGAAATGTTAGGATTTGTGGCCATATCTTCAGGGTTTATGCAGGAAATCGTGTGTGTGTGTGTGTGTGTGTGTGTGTGTGTGTGTGTGTGCGCATGCGCACGTGTGTGTGTGTGTACACATACATGTGTGCGTATAGAAAGAAATACACTTACTCTCTGTTTAATATGAATATGGGTATAAGAATCTGTCTCTTCAATCTTAATCCCAGATTGAAGCCTCATTTTCTTCAGATATTTTCACATGGCTTCCAGCCTAATTATCAGACTTTTTATTTTAGTCAGGAATGGAAGTGATGCATAGAATCCTAGTTGCTAGCCAAGCAAAGTAGACCTAAGTGGTTATATCAGTTTTTAAGTCACAGAGGAATTCCCAGGGACTAGTGTAGAGCTGAGCAGGCTACACTGGTCATTTGTTCGTTAGTTACAATTAGTTCCTTTCCGAATAATTCTAAGGAATGAGACGCTTTGTGGTCTTGAAGGGTATGTGACTAGATTAAACTTTGTGAGACTTTATTAAATCACAGCAGACTTTTTGGATGTTGAATGCTGTTGAATTGCTATGCATTAGTTTTTTATTTTTTTAAGCACTTTAAAAAATCTCTACAACAGAAAAGTTCACAAATCGTAAGTGTGAAGCTTGATTAATTTTCACAAAACAAACAAACATATGCAACCAGCATCCAGAAGAAGAAGTAGAACATTACCTATTGACTTTTAAAGCGTGGGAATCTTCAGGTTTTAGTAATTTTGGGTTTACTAAGCAAGGCAATGTGTAAAATCTAGAACATACTATGCTACCTTTAAATTTGCTTGTGTAATTAGTAATGTAATCTGTATTCATCATTTGATTGTCCTGTGGAAGATCAACAGTGGTACGTTTAATCCAAAATAATTTTTGTTTCTTTTAGGACATAGGATTTTTAAAAGTGACCACATTTTCTCTCCTAATTATGGTATGTTTAAGCCAGTATGAATGCAAGTTTATACTTTTTGTAAAGGCAACTCAGAAGTCTGTTGGTGAAGAAATCAGCTTGGAATCTAAACATTGCAGCCCCCAATCCACAATCTAAATGGTACATTAATAATCAAAAGTTGACCTCCTAAGCAAATATAAAATATGGACTTTGTGAGGAAGGTAGAACAAAGTGTCTGGAAATTCACTTCTGCTTCCCCATCTCATTGAGTAACTTCTCTCACCTGTGAGACAGAGAACAGATTTAGAAGGCAGCATCCAGGTTCAGATGGCGAGCCCTGCCTAGCCCCAGCACCTAATAATGATTCTTAAAGTTTGAGACATCTCATTCTATTTTTTCAAGTTATTTTAAACTTCATAATCAAATCTTCAGATAAAATTATGTTTTATCAATTAAAAATATTTCTCTCACACTTTGTAAAGCAAACATTAAAAACATTCTGGTTGGGACTTCCCTGGTGGTCCAGTCGTTAAGAATCCACCTTCCAATGCAGGGGACGCAGGTTTGGTCCCTGGTGGGGGAACTAAGATCCCACATGCCGTGGGGAACAAAACCAGCGCGCTATAGAGCCCTCGAGCCACAGCTAGAGAGAAGCACACGTGCTGCAACTAAGACCCGACGCAGCCAAACAATAATAAAATAAAATTTTTAAGAAAAGAAAACCATTCTTTTAAAAAAAGAAGCATTCTGGTTGGCATTTGCATTGTCTCCTAGAGAATGGCAGATACATGGGTCTGAAAAGTAAAAACAAGTAAGCAAAATTACATCTACCAGCTGACCACTTTAAAATGGGAATGAAGTGAAGAAAAGTTAAATACACGAACAACTTTTAACTGCCAAATGCAATTAGCAGTTGAATAGTCAAGGGATGTCAATGATATAAAGTTTGTTATGAGCCAAGCGCACAGTATTTATAGTGAAAGTGGGTCTCTAAGAAAACGCAAAGCTATTCATATTGGTTGTCACTAGGCGATCTCCATACGGGAAACGTGAATATCCATAAAGCTGTTTCCAAAGGTTTTTCAACCACACATTTGATTCTCCTTCAGATGTATGAGCCTTGGCTCATTAATGTTACAGGCAGAATATCATACTTATCTCTTTGGTGTGGAATTCCCTAGTCAGCAAGGTTAATCAGAGTCCTTTTATTAATCAGCGTAATGCACTTTAAGTACTTCGTTTATGGCCCACAGCCGCAGGTTCTTTGGTTGATAGTCATATTTTTAATTAAAATAACCAATGAATGATTTCACTGGAAAACTTTCTGGCAGGTACTCTATCTACTTTACTAAGTAGCAACTGCCTTCCAAATATCTTGAAAGCTCTTATTTTCACTCTCTTAATGAGTCATCTTCTTATCACCTAATTTTCCTCTTTGCCAGAAATTCACTCTCCTACTTTCCTATTGCCATCCCAGGGTTCTTTTGCTTTCCTAGATGTTCAGATTTTTTTCTTTAAAATTTTACATTTCAAGCTTATTTTTTTTTCTCTCCTGGGGAAACTCTGAGATTTATCCTGAAAATATTAGCTATTAAAAAATGGGTAAGAATTGTGCTCCAGCCTGTAATCCTTCAGGACTATGTAAATACGTGGACACAGCAGAGCAAATGTCTGCTTATCCAGCCACGAGCAGTGTGTGTAACCTTTGGCTGTAATAACAGAGGCTTCTTGTGTGTGGGGTTCTTTGGACTCAGACAACATTACAGCTGATAACTGTGGCAGATCCGAGCTTAGCTGAAGATTTACCAGAGATGTGTATATCCTCCCAAACACTGGAGCAGAATCAACCCTTCTTCCAAAAGGTGGCCCAAACACTTCGCTCCTTACTGTATTTCCTGAGCCGGGGGTTTTCTACTCAGTGACTCAGGCATATCTCTGGATTCAGATTTAAATTAAACGCACACACACACATACACACACACACACAAAGAATTGGTCTGTGTATTTTTGTAGGGGCATAACTCCTAAATTCCTTTAGAACTTTGCCGAGAATTGATATTGATTTGGAGGTGGACTGCATGTAGCTTTCAGATTTGGGGGAGACTAGGTATACAAACATGGGCACTTCCTGCTACTTAATCTCTACAAGATATTTATCCTCATTTGTAAAGTGGAGGCTTTGTCAAGACCCCCTCTAGATCTCCTGCATGCTGATAATCTTCAATGTTTTGAAGGGGAAATTATATAAACAGATTAAGTGTCGTGGTCTGGGGAAGGTAAAAAGTAATGGTAGATGCTATAAATCCACATGGGTGTGGCCTATGTTTGAGAGTTCTCTCTGGGATGTTTTCCTAGGAGAAAGAATCTGTATTTTCTTCTCAGTTAAGCTCAT